CAATAAATATTATCTTTCAGATGTCTCCTAGGCAAGTTCTGTCCTATCTAATGTACGGCATCCTATAAATGCTTAAATTTTGGGCAACTGTGCTAGACATAGTTTCATATGCATAGGAAAAGATTCTAAAATCAAGATAAGTTAAATAAAAAATTATGACTGAATTAACTTAAAATTAGAATAAATATGCAAAAAGTAATTATTAACAGGATAGAATAAACTATCATTAAATCCTCATTTTCCAACATATTCTAATACTGAAAATCAGAAATTTAAAAAATAACCACCTGTCTATGATGTAAAAAAGCAGTTAAAACGTTGTAAAAGAAATTTGCTTCACATATTCTTAGAAAAAGCATGCACATTCTGCTTGATTAAATACATTTAATCTCAAGGTTTGTTATTAAACAAAACTGGCACTACCTTAAAAGGACAACATTCATGCTGGAAACTAAATGGAGTCATAACTTATCTGACAAATGCTTCCTTTTCTTTTCCTAAGTCTGCAAGTGTTCACCAAATGGCCCACAATCTTACCTTACAATCTATTGGGTCATCGCAAAAGTCATGATGCATTTTTGCATAGATCATGACTTTTCCAGTGACCCAATAGATGCTTCACATAATGATTCATAGAGATGAACTATATGAAGTCTATCAATACAAAAAAAAAAATCATAGATGTTAAAACATGTATTCTCCATCTTAACATATTAGGTCCGTTGCCATTTTATTCTCCCTTTTGGTTCAAATTCTTGGATGTCGTTCACATATACACATTTCATTTTATGAGGACTATAAGAGGTGGAGCAGAAAGGGGAAAACGCATGAGGTCTGCAGTGTGGTGCAGCAGTGCAGATAATGTATACTCATGTGACCACTGTGGACTACGCCAGGAGGTAAGGTGGGGGCCAGGTTTGGAGGAAGGGGCAAAGATGATGAATTATTCACTTCTGGACAGATGGAACTGGAGTAACCTACAGATATCTCATTTAGCCAATCAGCATTTTAGTGTCTAAATGTTATGAGGCCCCAGGAATTAAGTAGACAGCAAGATATATGGGACAAGTATAAATGTGGGAGTCATCAGGTAAAATGTAGAAAAAAAAATCTGAATGAGACTACTCCAATCAGAGTACAGAGTAAGAAAAGAAGTGGACTGAGACCTTTACAAGAATGCACTTAAGCAAAAAGGCGGAGAAAGAACAGGCCATTAAACAAAAGACAGGAGGAATGTAGAAGGTAAACCGAGAGACTGGTACAACTTGCAGAAAATTTCAAAAGGAGAAAGAACCAGTATTAACCCCCATAAAATAAGAGGTTTCAAAAATACTCATTAAATGCTTCAACAAGGAAGTCAGTAGTGAATCTATTGGGAAAATTTCTACATGAAAAAAAAGATACTAGCATACTGAGCAAAAGAAAACAGCAAGACTAGGCTATTTTGGGGCCAGCCCCACAGCCTAGTGATTAAGAAGTCAGATCCTATATGGTTGACTGCGGTCTGAATCCAGGCCTCAGAGGACTGAAAAATATGCCAGGTACGTGTATGTGCATGCTCAAATTTCAGAGAAGATGGAGATAGAGGAGAAGGAATTGCAGCGTGAAGCTCCAATAGATAGCACTTTCTTGCTCGCTCTGGCAAGCACATGTGCTTCTCTAGTAACTGAATAAAAGAAAGGAAAGGGATAAAAGAACAGAGTACTTTTTTATTAGCTTAAGTACAAGGAGAAGTACATGGTGATAATGAAATGAAAGATCATGGGTCATGAGAACATATAAAACAAAGGGGAAACTGAAAAGAGAGGAGTCATTGGAGACCAAAATAGGAATGATAATGGTTCTAATAGTTTTCTCCAAAATAACAGCTGCCCTTACTTGCTTTAACACAAATGATTAATTACTATGTTTATTTCAGGCACCAGGGCTGGAAGAGAAAAGGTACATTCTTGAATAGAAAAATCTTTCTGGATTACATTGAACTCCAAACTTTTCCAGAGGTTTTCTCTTTTTCTCTGAAGGCTTAATGAGCATAAGTGTATGTGCACATGTGTGCACGAACACACACACACACACACACACACACACATAGCTTTAAATCTTATACTGAAGTTTCACCATGGGAAAACAAAACAATTATAAAAATCATGGCATAAGTATTCACATGGTTTTGTAATTTTCTCATTTTCAATAGAAAATAACCCTAATTTTCTTTTTTAGAAGATACAAATTATGTAACTTCATTTGAGCAAAATACATTTTAATGAGAAAAAGAAGCAAATTTTAAAATTAGTAAATTTTAGAATGAGAATTAGCAAGTATAGTTGAAACACATTATCAATAGACTAAGACTTTAGATTGCAGATCTGTCTGTAAGTAACTATCAACAGTACTATTAGCCAGGCCTTCCACCTTCCTGGACCTTGGTTTTCTCAACTATAAAATTAGTGAGTTAGAAGACATCTTCTGGACCCATCCAGCCCTAAGAATACCTTGACTCTAATACTATGCAGGCTATTTTCAGGTTGAGAAATCAAAGCTCAAAGAATACAATTCAATGAGCAGAAAAGTTGGTATAGAAGAACCATTTTGGAATTGAGGATTGACAATCTAATGTTCTTTATGCTATAACAAGTCTATGTTCTTATAGACTGTGAAGGTGTTATTTGAAAACATCTTCTACTCCCCCCCTCTGCAAGTTACATTTTAAATACCAGCACAGTCAAGGCTACGGTAAAACACAGAACACATACAGAAGCGCTCTCCTCAAGTCCAGCTTACAGCCTCTGATGGAGTCATGCTTACTATGGTCCTGAATGCTTTATCAAAGAAATAAGATGCGACATTCTGGTATGTAATGGCAATGAACTATATTGTGCTTAGAGAAATCCTGCCTCTAACATAGGGTACACAACATGCCCCCATCCCCACTGGAATCCTAAAAATACACTTTTTTCCTAAAAATAAAAAAAAAAAATTTTTTTTTAAAGGTTTTTGCCATAGGGTGCATGTGCTTGCCAGAGACAGAGACAGTGAAAGAGAAAGTGAGAAATCAACCCCTGGGGGGATGGCAAGGTGCAATCCCTTCTCCTCCATTCTTCTTCTAGGATTTTGGGCATGCACACTCACGCACCCAGCATGATTTTCAAGTCACAAGGTCCAGGACTTAAACTGCGATTGGCCATGTGGGAGTCTAGTGCCTTGACCACTATGCCACCTGCTGGCTGCCATTCAGTGCATTCTAACCAGTGCAACTCTTTTTTGGAAAACAAAGGCCAGCAGCTGAACAGACATGTATCAACTGCCTTTGCCTCTATTTTGTCTTCTAGACATGGTCACGCTATACAACTTCAGAGATGACACTGTGGAATCTTCTAAACAAACAACAGACGTTTAAATTTCTCTCAGAAATAGCTATCTTGAGGGGCCGGAGAGTGGCTGCGGCAGTAAAACACAATGCTCTGAGAGACTGAGTCACCTTGGAAGGTTTGGGGTTCACATCCAGAGACTTCCCTGAGTATGCCAGGCAAGAATATGCCCATAATCCAGGGCAGGATGGGGGTGGACTACAGTGCGAAGACCCTGTTCAGGGTGCTGTGTGTCTCTCTCTTATGGAAAAAATAAGTAAACTTAAAAAAAAAGAAAACAACAACACAAAAAGTTATGCTATACTTATTACATTTTAAGTTAGTTTATTTCTAGCTTACAAGAGAAAGAGGGAGGAAGGAAGAAGACAGGAACCTCCAACAGGGTCTTCATTCTTGCGATCCACCCCAAGTCTCAGCTAGCCTATCCCACTGCATCCAACCTGGATCAAGGGCATGCATGTGCATGCCCAGAGAATTCAGGAGGGTCCAGAACATAAACTAGTTATTTCCCATGTCATTCCAACTACATTACCACTGCACTACCACCTGACCCAGAAATAACTATCCTGAAAACCAGAATGACTAGTTAAAAAATAGGACATAATAGATTTGGGGGAGAAAAGGGAGATTGAAGAAACAAACACATGTTATCATTTGATTACTTTGAAAAAAAATTTTTAATGTTTTTGCCATAGGGCGCATGTGCTGGCCTGAGAAAGAAGAGAGACAATGAGAGGGAAAGTGAGAAATCACTCCCAGGGAGATGGCCACGTCGCAACCCTTCTTCCTCCACTCTCCACTTGGGATTCTGGGCATGAATGCACATGCGCCTGGCATGATTTTCAAGCTGCCAAAGTCCAGGACTCAAACAGCAGTTGGCTATGTGAGAGTCCAGTGCCTTAACCTCTACACCACCTGTTGGGCACACATTTGATTACTCTTTAGAAGGGATTAAACCAATTTATTTGAATGTTAGGTATATATCACATAGAGTATTTTCTGTATATTTAATTCATATACAAACTTAAAAGGGTAGTTTAATTGGGATTTCATTTTCTAAGCCTAACAAAACATTATTCATATTTTGTTGAAAATGATATTATGTTATTGGTTAAATACTGAAATTTATAAACACTTCATGATATACAGAACAGAGAGAAATTCTTAGTCAAAAGACATATAAAATACAGAAATCCTTAGCACTAAGCTAAATTCCCAAAACTAAGCAACTAATTTCATCTAGGTAAACAACAACACTAATATTCATTGAGACTACTCTTCAGAGTTCATACTAAAATATCCACCAACTACATCAAAACTTTGATTAATTTCTTTAGTTACTATATTAAACTTCATTACAAATTACTGGTTTACTTAAACAGCTAGGACATACTGTTTTTACCATGTAGCCCATTTCTAAGAAAACGTAATAAATAGTCCATGAAAAACGTGAAGGGCAAGTGGCTATTTAATACAAAAATACACTCCAGGTAATAAAATAATTTCCTTAGCAATCTTGCAATAATTTATTTAAAGGATACATATACTTAAAAATACTTTAAATTTCATATAAATTACTGATTAAGGAAGAGCAACAACTAGAAATAATGAACACACAGTGACATAACTCACCTAAATAGGGAATGCAAGGTGTCATCTTTAAGCTACTTATATAGTCTCTGAGTCTTTTGTAGTTATCTTCTTTACTCATTACATATTCTAATTTTTCAAAGGTAGTTTTATCTTTTCGACTTAATAACTAAAAAACAAACAGAAAAACCTAAGTTATTTACAAATTCCATTTTATTGTAGCAAAGACCTGAACTGAAGTTGTATTTATTATAAATTTGGATTTTAATTTCAAAGTTATACCTTTAATTATATTTTAGTAGTATATAAATAAATCAAAATCAGACATATCTAATACCCCAAATTCATCATCAGTAAAACAGCCTTTGTATATACATAAAATTATCAAATAGTGAATTGTAATACATTGTTTCTCATCTTTACTATCTTAAATGATGAAGCAATTCTTGATCATTCTCAAAATTATATACTAGTTAAAATATCCAAATGTTTAACTGTCCCGTCTCCTCAAAGGTAAAGACAATTCTTACATAATCATTAAAAATTATCAATAATAAATTTTGTGATTTAAGTAACAATTTTTCTTGGCCAATCTAATCATGGCTGGGTTTTAATAACTGTAAAATCCCACCATTCCCTACATCCTTACATTTCTGACAAGGCATTTTCTTTCTTTTTTTTTTAACCTTGCCAGAGGGTACATGCACTTGTGGGAGACAGACTGAAAGACAGAGAAAACAACCCCAATGGAGGATGGTCACACTGGAATCCTTCTTCTTCCATTTCATTCCCCTTTTGGGATTGTGGAGATGCAAGCACACAAGCCTAACACGTTTTACAACCACCAGGTCCAGGACTTAAACTACACAACAGGCCCTGTGGGATCTAGCCATCTAACCTCCAGGCTACAGGCTAGCTCAACATTTTCTCTGATCAGTGCTATATAACATACAGCCTAACTAGAAAAACATTGGTTTAGGAGCTTGAGGGGTACATTTGTAGTTTTGGGGATAAATTTTTAAAAATGTGTTTCCTGAGCCTTTTTAGTTATTAACATTGTAAGTGACTGACCTTAATTTCTTTCACTCCTCTTGATTATCAAATCAAGGTGATGACAGAGTGATCAGGGAGCCTGTATTTCATATGGCCATGCTGCAATCCCCCCTCTTCCCGGAATTCTGGGCACACGTGCACATGTGCCTGGCATGAGTTTCAAGCTGCCAGGTCTGGGACTGGAACCATAGGGTCAATCGTGTGGGAGTCCAGTGCCTTAACCACCATGCCACCTGCCAGCCCTGGCAAGTGTCTGTCTTCTCATTAGATGTGTGGTTTGCAACTATCTTCTCTCACCCCACAGATTCTCTCCTCACTCTGATGATTGTCACCCCAGCTGTGCAGAAGCTTTTTAGTTTGATCCAACGCACTTGTCATTTTTGATCTTGTTGCCTCTACTTGTGGGGTCATATCCAAAAAAATCACTGTTTAGACCAATGTCAATAATTTTTTCTCTTATGTTTTCTTCTAGTAGTCTTACAGTTTCAGGCGTTACATTTAATCTGTAAACCACTTTGAGTTCATTTTATATGTGATGTTGGGATTATATATGATTATTGGGAAAATGGTATTTTCCATGTAGCCCATTTTCCCAATACCATTTATTGAAGAGATTGCCTTTTTTCCCTTTGTGTATTCTTGACAGCTTTGTCGAAGACCAACTAATTGTAAATACAGTTATTTATTTCTGAACTTTTAAATTTGTTTCATTGTCCTGTATGTCTTTTTTTATGCCAATACCATACTGTTTGGATTACTACAGCTTTGTAATATATTTTTTTTCTTTTTTTTTTTTTATTTTATTATCATCATAATCTTCTTTCTATTACAGTAGATTACATATAACTTTACATTGACTTCCATTGCTTTTTTCAAAAGGGAATGCCATGCATGTCAGTCAATACAGAGATATCAATCTCCCCGCTTTATCATTCAATATCTTTTCCATGCTTTTCCCAATAATTATTATTGTAATTTTTTTAGACAGTCAATCACTATTTCTCGTTTTGCTTATTAACAGCTTTGTAATATATTTTGAAATCAGGCAATGTGATGTAGCTAACTTTCTTCTTGCTCAAGATTGCTTTGGTTATTCTGGGTCTTTTGTGATTCCATAAGAATTTTAAGGACTATTTTTCCTTTATCTATGAAAAAGCCATTGATTGGTATTCTGATAAGGACTGCAATAGATCAGTAGATCACTTTGGGTACCACATGCATTTTAACAATATTATTTTTTCCAATCCATGAACATGGGATGGCTGTCCATTTACTCGTGTGTTCTTCAATTTCTTAATCAATGTTTTACACAGATCTTTTTACCTTCCTGGTTAAATGTAATCGTAAGTGTTTTATAGTTTTTAACTGCACAGATCTTTTACCTTTCTGGTTAAATGTACTTGTAAGTACTTTATTATTTTTGATGCTATCGTAAATGGGAGAATCTAAATTTCTTTTTCAGATTGTTACTAGTGTTAGAAATGCACCTGTTTTTCATATGTTGCTTCTTCTTTTTTTTTTTAATCTTGGAATGTTACTGAATTCATTTATTGCTCTTAAGAGCATTTTGGTGGAGTCTCCAGGTCTTCTGTACACAAGATCATGTCATCTGCTCAGATTGGGATTTTGATTCAAGTTGCATATACATTATACAACTTGAATCAACTTTTGGGGAGAACTCAAATCTTTAAACTTTCCTGTCTGTGAATATTGTTCCATCTAGTTTTTCTTTAATGACTTGATGTAAAATTAAATCATTTTATGCACATAGGTCTTAGACATTACGCTCATTAATTTTTTTTTATATTTTAACTGGCCTCTATTTAAATAATATTTTAAAATAATTTCAAATATTTATATTTTTTGTCATAAGGCACATGTACCCACTGGAGAAACAGTGAGGTTTTTTTTTTTTTTTTGGTCATAAGGTACATGTGCTCACTGGAGAGAGTGAGACAGACATACAGACAGAGAGGGAAGGTGAAAAGTCACCCTCCAGGGGATATGGCCATACTACAGTCACCTCTCTTCTATTTTCCCCTTGGGATTTTGGACATGCACACATATGTATCTGGAGTGTTTTTCCGGCCACAGAATCTGGGACTCAAACTATGAAGTCAGCCATGTGAGATCTAGCACCTTAATCACCGTGCCACCTGCTGATCCAATAAAGCTAATTTAAAAAAAACTGTGGTAAAATATTTATAACATAAAATTTACCATTTTAACTATGTTTAAATATACAGTTCAATAGCATTAATTACATTCACACTGTGGCACAACCATTACCACTACTCATCTCCAGAACTCTTCCATCTTTTCTTTTTTCTGGAGAGGTTTTTTGGCTATAGGATACATGCGCTTGCCATAAAGACAGAGAGAGAGAGAGAGAGAGAGAGAGAGAGAGAGAGAGAGAGAGAGAAAGAGAGAGAAAGAGAAAGAGAGAGAAAGTGAGAAATCAACCCCCAGGAGGGATGGCTACACTACAATCCCTTCTCCATTCTCCTCTCGGGATTTTGGGCACACACGCACATGTGCCTGGTGTGAGTTTAAGCCACCAGGTTCGGGACTTGAACTGCGGTCTAATACATGGTAGTCCAGTGACACAGCCATTACGCTAACTGCTGGTCCCTCTTCCATCTTTTCAACATGATACTCTATGTCCATTAAACAATTCCCCATTCCCATTTTCCCTATCCCCTGGCAACAGCCATTTTATATTCTGTCTCTATGACTCTGACTACTCTAGGTACCTCATATAAATGGAATCAAGTATTATTTTTCTTTTCAGGTCTAACTTATTTCACTTAACATAATGTCTGCAAGATTCATTTATGCTGTAGGATGAATCTGTTTTTAAGGCTAAATAATATTACACTGTGTGTACAAGTATGTATGTATATGTATAATTATATACACATTTATACTGCATGTATGCACACGTAAATATATATATCTATAAATATTCACATATAAAACTATATATTTACATATACATACTTACATGCTACATTTCATGTATTCATGGATCTACAAATAGACATTTGGGTTGATTCTACCTTTTGGCTATTGTTAACAACATTGCTATGAAATATGATGCAAAAGTATCAGTTTGTTTTCCTACTTCTTTTTTTTTTTTTTTTAAGGTTTTTTGCATAGGGCATGTGCTCTTGCCAGAGACAGACAGAGAGACAATGAGAGAAAAAGTGAGAAATCACCCCCTGAGGGATGGTCACGTCATAATCCCCTCTCTTCCATTCTCCTGAGATTTGGGGCATACATGCACACATGCCCAACGTGTTTCAAGCCGCTGGGTCTGGGACTCAAATTGCAGCCACATGGGGGTCCAGTGCCTTACTAGTCATGCCACCTAATGGTCCCAATGTTCTCATTTTCAATCTTTCAGGTATATAGTTGTCCCTCATGGGGGACTGATTTCAGAACCCACTGTGGATACCAAAATCAGCAGATGCTTAAGTCCCTTATACAAAATGGGTAGTATTTGCACACAACCTATGCATATTCTCCTGCATACTTTAAATCCACATTATTTATATACTTATACAATGCCCACACATAACTTCATTCACGAGAACTCAGCATAGTACTCAGTGCATGGTGAATTCAAGTTTTGCTTTTTGTTGATTTCTTCCCCCTGAATATTTCTGATATGTAGTTGGCAGAATCCATGGATGTTAAATCTACAGGTACAGAAGGCTGACTCTGTAACCAGAATTGCTAGATCACATGCAATTCTGTGTTTACTTTTTACTATGCTGGTAAGGATCTTT